ATACAGTACATTTTCACATGCATTTGAATTTGCTGTGAGTCACAGGCAGCGCAGTATAACTTGCGCAGATACAAAAAAATATATATTGGCAGAAAATGAAATATGTGCCTGATGTGATGTTAGAATATATCTGCTTGAAAAAGACAAGGGCGCAGGCATCAGCTTTATTTACAGTCAATTTATGTTGTCTTGGAAATCTCTTGCATTTAGGTCAGGTTTTGATCAGACATATCTCTGTGTGTGTGTATGTGTGTGGATGTGTGTCTGCTTATAAAAATAGCATAAAACAGTGGAGCTAATTCTCATGTCACTGCTTCTATACGATGACAGTGTACCTCAGATGAACCTGCTCACTGGTTACTTGAAGATATATTTATCAAAAGCAATTGTGATTAATTGTGATTAATTATGATCATACGTAATTATGACTAATCATGATTAATTGAGATTGTTATGATAGAATTATTAATGTGGAAATATGTCAAGACTGTGTAAGCAAATATGCATGCAAAACTATAACTCAAATGGCAAGTAGGCAATTGAGTCGTTCACCTAGTCTACAAACATGGCGATGGGCATTGAGATGGAATTTAAATTTGAAGTGCTTCCGTGAAAGTAAAAATCCAAACTCTTCCGGCAGTGTGTGTAAATAACGACATGTTTTCACTGATTAGTCTTTGCCCTATTATTCATCAAATACCCTTTACCCTTTCAATCATCTGCAACGCACTCAAAGCAATAATAAATAAAAAAAATAGACAAAGGTATTTGATGTATAACTAAATAACCCAGACAGCAACCTATTTGAAAGTCTAGCACATTTTAATCCAGTTAAATTATTAAGGTGGAAAGAACCTTGCAAAGGTACGTGTGAATTTAAATCCCTGTGTGAGCCATAATATCTGCTCCTACTTCGAACGGCTCTGCCCCATTGGATGTCAGATATGTATGGCCCCATTTAACTTGACTAATATTTGGAAAGTGAAGCTCTGAGAGGCCAAAATATTAAAATGTAGCAGGTGTTCGGTCTCACTAAGAGAGCACGCTCTTTCGATGTGCAAAGATATATTCTGCTTTTCAGGGCAAAACGGGGTTTTTTTTTTCCATCCTGTTCAGCTCTAAGCCCTGTTTCAGACTGAACATCAGAGAGGTGTCGTAGAGCTCACAGGTGATGTCAAGGTATCGCCCTTCATGAAAAATTCTCAGTCATTTGCAGCTTCTAACATATTGATGTTTAACCTCTGAACCGTTCACAGCCGACATAAATACCTGAAAGGATACAGTGTGTACTGTGTAAAATAATAGGTGTCTGCATTTAACAACGTTGGCCCGTTATGAACAGCTTTGAATTGAGGCACAAAGTCTTTGTCCTCGTTTTGATCTTGACACCTGGAGTTTCGAAAGTGCCATGTCCAACATATTTCTCGGTGACAGCTGTGCCTTCGAGCATAACCGAATGTTTATCAGTTTAAGTGAAACATGTTTAAAATCTGCTGCTGTTGAAGTTTTTAAATAACCACCCAAGGGTACATGACTCGTACTGGTAAATGTTTTCCGTAGAAAACATGCAGTGCTGCACTTGTTACAGAATCTAAAAAAAATTGTAACAAATTAAAAATTTAGATTGTCATACAAAGGAGGTCAAGTATATAGTTTATAAATAATTGGAGTACTGGATAAGGAAGAAACTTCCTCCTATATAATGTTGCCATGCATATATAATGCCAGAAATGAACAATAATAATGAAATCAATACTAATATCTAATATTTATTTTTTGAAGTTGAAGTTCTGTCAATATCTGTATGACCTGTTGTGTTGGGCGACGGCTTTTTTAATATTAACGCCAAATCTTTGAGTTTGTCAGAGTGAGGAGCCTGAGCAGAAGTCCTGTTTACCAAAGGAGTCTCCTGCTGCAAAGGCTTAGGCCAGGCACCACTGCACTAGAATACTGTGGAAAACTACAAACAACGACAGGACGAGAAACACAGATTATTTATTTATTTGACATACATGACGTTTTGCTAACATTGCTAACAAATCAAAACAGCCTTAAAAATGCACAGGCAGTGGACCCTTTAGAGAGTAAAGAGACAGACATTTTAGACAGAAGGGACAGCTGGTGTGAAAGCATAATGAAGGAACTCATCTGTGTCATAGTTGAGAAACCTTCTGTCAACAGAGGAGGTCATCTGCAACAACACCCATTGTATTCACTTCCTCAGAAGCTGTCATTTCGTTCCTTTCCAAAAGATCCGCCGCGTGACCTTCTGTCATACCAACAGCTCTGCTGACTGTCATTAACCTCCAGCTCTCAGATGACTGAAATTGTCTCTCAGTGACACTGAGTGTCACACCAGACAAACATCTGTTGTAAAGACACAGTGGCGCTAAAGTGAGCACAGACCCCACAGACAGGAGGGTGATTAGTGGGATGTCTTCATTTACAAACATCTCGACTCTTTTAGGCGTTTACAGTCAGGCAACTTACTGCCTTTAAGTCATTATCCATATATACTGTAGCTATATATCACACTTATCACCATGACTCTAATACACTATTGTTATTACATCTACCTGCTGGCATTTATCTTTCTGTTCCAGAAATATACAGAATGTTCATGATTCATTTTGATCATGATTAATCATGATTAACAGCTATCTTCAGAGTTAGTGAAAGGTTATGTTTGACTTTTCACACCTGACATCGCACCCATTATAAACAGTTAAATAGCCCAACAAAAGGAGAAACCTGACAACTAATGGCTTTTCTACAGAGAGCTCTTTTGTTAAAGTGAGACAATAGACCAAACCACATCACTATGTCAGAATGAAAATGTAATTTATATTTCAATTGAAACGTCCATCAAAACCGGTCGCCTATGCTCCTGGGACTAACCACAATTTCTCCTCCTGTGGGACATTCAATGGCAGTGAATTACATACTGAAGCTCCAAGCAGATGATGGAATGACTACCCAGGCACGTGTCTTGGGTTTCCCTCTCTGTGCTCTGTCAGAGAAGCCTCCAGTCACTGCTTAGTGGCAAAAGATGCATTACATTGCAGCCACATTGGAAATAGTCCCTGAGGTGCTCCACCGCTGCGTTGACTGACAGAGCAGCTTGCAAAATATGTTCTGTCCCATAATTCACCAGATGCTCTGTGGTCATGGATTCCCTCTCATTGTTGTCTCCCTAGATGCACAGAGCTGTGTCACTGTCACCGTCACTGTCACTGTTTTTTGCATCACTGCTTCTATTAGGAATCTGTCCTTTTATTCCCCATGGACACTCACATAATGTGAGTGATTCTCCTATTTGGGGTAATTTAGAATTTGCAGGAAGGGTAACGCAGTGATGTGTTTACCGTTCTACACCTCACGACCATAATGTTCCCCGATTTGAAATGATTACAGAAACATATCGCGGTTTATCCAGAGAGCAGAGCAGAAATAACGACTTCCTCCTCCTCCATCTGAACAGAAACATTTATGACCTGTACAATTTTGTGCCAACTGGTGTTTGCAGCAGATTCCCAGAGTACTGCACAATGACAAATTGGCTACAATTGCGAACCATTATGTACTTTTACCAGGTGTATGGTTATCAGTATGAAGACTAAGAGAAACAATCCTAACACTGGGGCAACTTTCAGAAATATGAAAAAATAACTAAAATACATAAAAACCAAATACCTGGAAATAGGTTTAGGGGTAAAAACTTAGGGATAACCTATAATAAATTCTTATGTAAAACAAATAGCTGTGATGACTGACAGTGCATCATTATGTAATTCTTTTCTGTAATTAATCTTTGTCAAACTAAAACTCTTTTTACTTCAAATATGTGTTTTTCTGGCTTGAAACAACAGGAGTGACATAATGAGACCACCAAGAAAAAAACAACAATAACGCTCATTATAATCCGGTTTTATTAACACCTTGTTATATACTTGTACTTTTTTTTAATTATGTGAAGCAGATGGTGCTCGCTCAGAATGGCGCAGCAGTTGCTGTAGCGATTTTAAAAGCTGGGCAGCAGAATTTTCCAGGATTTGCTGTTGTACTTTTTATTACTGCTCATATCTCCACACATGCAGTGACAGAAATAGCCTTGAAACAGAATGTACTAAAAAAGATTCATCGAGAACTGAATCGATAAATGGTGGCTGTGCTTATTAATCATGGTGTACTCAATATTTTTTAAACGTTTTTATAAATAGTTGCGTTTATGGGACCTGTATATTTATTGTTTTTTTGTTTTGTTTTTTTGTTTCTTTAATTTGCTTGAGCTTATTTTTCCATGCATTTTTGACTACGTATTGTACATTGTAATTAGCCTAGCATGACAAAATCACCATGCTAGCCATGCTAAAAACCTGCCGCAGAGTGAGTTTTATTCTTACACTTGAATGTTATATGTTATTGGCCTTTAAAACTAGGTTTTTTATTGGTAATGTTCATGAAGTAAAAAAAAAAATCCTATTTAGGCAGGAAACCATTGCAGGGACTAGCCCGAGCAGCAGAGGGACCATGTCCAGCTGGTATAGCATTAGTGACTCCCAGGCTGTCTTCAGAAGTACAACAAAACATCCATGCTGATCTGCTTAGCCGTCCTGCCCCTCAACCCCCTAATGAAAAAGAGCAAAAGAGCTCTTGGGCTTAGCCTGTCCCTTTTACCCCAACTTAACAAGGTGTCCCCCTACACACTAGCGTCCTCCTCCACACACAGACACACATATGTAGAGCTACACGCACGCACACACCTCCCAAACCCCAAACCACTATCCCTCAGACCAATCTGTCTGTGGCACTAAAGTATTATTAGACTTACACACTCTCAAAGGGGAAACTCAGTGCCGGGAGCAGGAAGATGAGATATGCTATAGGGGCTACTAGTTCCATTAAAATGGCATTCACTGGGGCCTTTGTTATCATCTGTCCTGACGTTTTCAGGGTGAAGAGAGGTTTGCTGATCCATGACCATCTCATCTATCTTGCAGGATTTGAAGGAAGTCGGTGTGAAATCGACACCAATGAGTGCAACTCAAATCCGTGTCAAAACCAGGGAGAGTGTGTGGACCAGGTCAGTGGGTACAGGTAAGGAGTGATTATCTCTATTTTTTTTTCTACTTATATGGCAAGCAAATATAATATTTTCCATGATGTGGTTTACATTTAGTACATTTTGTAGGTGCTTTAAGGAAAAAAGAAAAAACAAACTAAAGATATTATTTCGGTGTTGTTTTTTTAATATCATTGATTTGATTAAACCAATTGATGTATTTCCACCTGAGTATTAATATCAATAATAATGATTGATCCTTTTTTTGTTCCAGCTGTCATTGTAAGCCGGGATTTTCAGGCCTTGTCTGTGAAGAAGACATTGATGAATGTGTGACTAATCCCTGTCAGAGTGAGGCCACATGTAAAGACCTGGTGAATGGGTAAGTACATTACTGTGTATGTGTTTGTTTATATATTTCAACATGGCATTATGGGGCACGTTCCATGTGTTTGTTTATAAGTGTGAATGAAGAAAAAGACAGCACACCCACCACTGCAGTGTTTCCCCTCACCGTGTTCTGGCTTATGTAACAAACCCGTCTCCAGCCTTGACATAGATAAGCTGCTGGTCCAAAGACAGGGAGTGAATTCAGCAAGAACACATCATGTATCTAGATTGGGCTTTACTCCACTGGTGCTTCTCTCTGCTGTGCTTAATGGGAGCCCTGGGGCTTCCAGGCTCAGTCGGACAGATGGGTAGAGAAGTCCCTGGGCCAATTTGAGTCCTAAATGTTTTGTCTCCAGTTTGTCTCCCGTCATGATTTGCCTCCCATGTGATCCGGCTCTGCTCAGAGCGCTCCTCTGATTGCACAGTCCAGGGAGTTCACATCAGGTGTGCGTTAACCCCGCTGCCCACCGCTATACGCACTTCCACCTCCGTCTCCCTGACCCAGCGAGCCGAGAGAGTCCATCTGCGCCGTGGTGACGCCTCAGACTCAGCAGAATACTCACTGAGCCCGAGCTGTGCCTCTTTTCTCAACTTGTGCATTAAGATGCTATGAGTTTGACTTTGCCAGGGTCACTTTACTTCTTACAGTTCTGTTGTCGAGCCACGCTTGATGTATCAGACTGCAGTTAATGATTTCCTGATTGTTGTAACCAGACTGCATCAGAACCAGCTAACCTGTAAACTGAACACAACACATTAGGGAGCAGTCAGGTCTCCGGGGTCAACCATAGAAAGAAAAAGGACAGTTAAAAAAAGAAGGTGCAGATCAGAGCGCAGGCAGGGTGGAGTAGGTGGAGAAGAATCTCAGGGGTTATTAGTGATGAAAGTTAAGGTGGATGAGACAGTAGGGAGAGCTGCTGTGATATGGCAGAGATGAAGATGCTGAGATCTTCACTGAGAGTGACCATGATGGACAGGATTAGAGCTGAGCAGATCAGAGGGATAGTTAAGGCTGAGACAAAGTCAGAGAGGTGTTAGTTTGAGGTGGTTCAAAAATGTGGTGAGGGGAGATAATGGTTATGTTGGACAGAAGAAAATGGATGTGTGGATGCCCAGTAGGAGGAAAGAATAAGGGAAGAGAGAGAAGATTTACAGATGTTGTGAAAGAGGAGATGGAGATGGTTCAAGGGTGGTGTAACGGTAGAGTGAGATGAAAATAACTTTTTTAAATTACATCTCACAAACTGGATTTAACACCAAATGATTGACTGCTATCACGTCTTCCTCAGATTCTGTTGCCTTTGCCCTCCGGGTTATTTTGGAACGCTGTGTGACCTGGATGTGAACGAGTGTGAAGTTTCACCTTGCCAACATGAGGGCATCTGTATCAACACGCCTGGCGGCTTCAAGTGTGTGTGTCGCCCTGGATACTCAGGTACCTCTTTGGGCCTAAGGTGACGTGAAGATCAATACGGGAGTCTAAACAGCTTATCAGAAGTAGCTATGGGCACACGATAGAGGAGCTAGTCTGACTCAGAGCTAGCTTAGCGTATCAAAAATAAATTGTTAGAAAATCATTCCCACAGTTCTGGCTTTTAATTAACCCTCCTGCATCTGGGTGATGAGTTTAATGTCACCTGGTTGTTCTGAAGAAAACCTCTCAGTGTCTGTTAGTTTCCTTCATTTCTATTTATTTCACCACCGACTCACAGCACTATTGTTGTTTCACTTCCATCCATTTGTCTTGTTTTTCACTCAGAAGAATATTGAAGTATTTTAGTGTGTGTGTAGCTTTGTGTGTGTGTGTGTCATATGCACTATCTAAAGCCGATTCCTGTCAGGTACTGGGAAGATTAATTTCATTTGTCTTCCGCACTGTATCATCAATTTATCCTTCCCCCGTTGAGAGAGGGGGGGGAATCTCTGAGGTATTGCTTCTCTGGAGAACACAACCTGACACGCATGGCCCAATTCCCACAGAAGCAGCTTTTATTATTAGGCCTACGCGCGGCATAGTACAAGTCATTACTTTTTCTGTTGCTCTAAGCTCATCTGAGGAAACAGGGCTCCCCAGGAGAGCAAGTGGCCAGAGGATACAGTCTGGATTGGCTCAAACCGAGTCGTACAACATATTTGTTCTGGTAACTCGTGTAGCTACATTGCAACTTTTCACTAAAACACAACCAGGTTTGCCACGCCACCTCGGCTGTTTGTATCTTATTTTTTATTCTAGTCATACAGTACGGTACATTCGCCACCATACGGTGATTCATCATACAGAGCGTGTGCAGCCTGGTCACAATAAACCGCAAGGCTATTTTTGCCTCACTGATGTGATGTTTTCCCTCCCGTCACTAAAGTACTTTGATTTGCTCTGTCACTCCATGACTTTGTCATGTTATTTGCTTCCATTGTCAGGAAAGGTGAGTTATTTTGTTTTTCTATTTTTGCTGCCCGTCTCATGCCATAATTACTTTGGAGCCCAACGTCTGATGCTGCCCACTAATAAATCAGCTCTCTGCTACATCTGCACACTTCTACAGATGTGATTAAGCTACAATGACACTTCATTCCCTCATGCGTCACTACACATATTGAGCTCACTGAGCTTCTCCAGGCGTTGGAGGGATCTTATTAAATCTAGTTGAAGCAAGAGTTCTGTTGGTCGTCTAAGGGAACTGTGGTTTTAGCTCCCAGCATTCAAACATTTAGCATTTAACATCAGTGTATACAATTAAAGCATTAGTGTAATCAGTAATAGATCACCCAAGGATGTCGGATGAAATTAAATTTAGAGAAGAACTGAAAACTTAGGCAGTGAACTCCCCCAGGTTTGTACTTTATGTTTGTAACATATTCTGTTTTTTATCCTGTCACTGATAGTCAGTTACCTGATAGGTAAAAAACACTTTCACACATTTCACATTTATTTTACATTTATTATTGTGTTTAATACGAACATTTTGACAGCACTAATTTTAAAACTATTCCTGATATCGAAGAAGAAAACTACAAAATAGTTGACCCTGTGAGTATGTTAATTCAAGCTGAAGTCAATCTTTCAGGCAAGTGTTTTTATTAACTTCAGTCTCACTTTCCTGTAGCGTTCTAATCCACAGTCCTTTAAAGAATTACTGTCAAGTTATTATTGTAGAGTTACGTTAAATCCCTGCAGTATTTTCGCAGTATAACTCTACAATAATAACTAACAAGGTGTGAAACCACATCTGTCAAAAAAGTTAATAAAATATTAGACATTAAAAAGTAATATTATTTATTATTGTTATTATTATTATATTTCTAACCATGGTAATATAAATATAAATTATTTTTGGTGGCCTGTATTAAAGTTTAGACAGCAACACATGAATTCATGGAAAATCATCAATTGCTTTATATTCCTTACATATTTGGGAGCAAATTAAACACATCAGCCTGCAGTTTACAGCTAAATAAATAAAAAGTAGATATATTAAAATAAAAGTATTTTTCCATTCATGCAGGATTATACTGACTGATTTTATTAAAACTGTGATTTCTTTTACGGGGACATTTTGTTGCATAGCTAACTGCCAATGCTTGGACACGCACAAGTGATGCACTGTGGACTATACTATTTGTGTTACTAGACCGGAGCGAAATATTGTTTCATCTGTGGTATGTTCTACTGTTGAAAGTTTAGATTACACATTCTGTACATGTTTTCTCAAATGACCACAGACTGGGCCACACTGGGGTCGTGTCTGGGCCAACATGTGGACTGCGGGCCACAATTTGAACAGGGCCAGGTTTGTACACCCGGTTACAAACTAAACACATGTACAAAGATTGTCACACATTGATGAAGTATTAAATATTTTAACACAGTCATGCAGATGTGCAGTGAGCGCCCACACCTGTCTGACCCTTTCTAACCTGGGGGCCGTGCAGTTCCAATAATCTTTTATTTAACACTGCACGGCCAATATGTTCTGCACTGGGGTCAGAAGTCATTATGTTGACATGATTAATGGGTCACTCTGTTTTATATAAATCACGCTTTAAGCACACCATTCATCTCCTTCTGTTTTCTCTTCTTCACCCATCATTAAGGAGCATGCTCCCTTGAGTGATGGTACAGTACAATCAGCACATTGTGGCAAGCTTCCTCAGTCAGCACATTGTCCCCCAATGATGATGTCCTGGCCCCCACAGTGCTGTTTTGATGTGACGGCTTCAGTGAACTCAGGCTTTTGCTGAGTGAGGCTGATACGTAAAATGGCCACCTTACTCTCCACGGAGACCCTATAGAAATCTGTTGCTTCAGACCTGTACGCTGCATTCAAAGACAAATATAGAGCTGGTTTATTATTAACAGAATTGATTCAATTTTAATCTGACTTTTAATAATATTAGACTTTTTTTCGATGGCCACTAAACTTCCAATGAGACAAGATTTGCTGATTATTATTATTACGTTTTGGGACTTTTTTTTTGTTTTGATATCATTAGTTTAATTTATTTAACTAGTAAATGTTAAATCTCCAATAACTAGTTGATGCAAATAATCAGGAAATTATGTAATTATATCTCATATTTCTATGTTCACTTTCCGAGTCATTATAACTGACCTAAATAAAAAGTGATGTTATGTCTGATATAAGTATTGTTATTTAAAAACAACAATATTATTATCTTGATACTTATTCAAAGTGATTTTCTTTTTTTAGTTTTTAAGTTTTGTCTTTGTTGTCATTTATTTTGACTTTAGGCTTTAAGTTTTAAGTTTAAAATTTAAATTATTTTTTTTCTTTGTTTAAATCTGTCTGTCAGTTTTGCAGTAACAGTTTTGCTTAAATAACCTTAATTAAAAGCATGACAACAACCTGTTTACATTAAAAATGTCGACAGTGAAAAAAATCTTTTTTGTTTCTAATTTAGGCCAATGATAAAACAAAAGGTTCTGAGGATGAAAATCAAGAAATATATAGTTGTCTTTCTTTCCTTTTTCTTTGTAATAACTCCATCAAACGTCTTCTTTCCTTTTTCTTTGTAATAACTCCCTCAAACGTCACTGTTTTGTTTTTGGTTTTTTTTTGTTTTTGGTTTTTTGCTGCTATTCCGTGAGTGGAGAAAAACAATTTGTGCTGTGAACGAACACTGTCTTAGCGGATGAATCTTACGACTTACCTAAAATGTGTCAGACGAACAAAGTGTAGTTATATTTAAGTCTCTCCGGGAATAATACATGCGTTCCGTTTGAGTCAGCAGGTTCTGGATGTAGTTCTGTTTGTTTGAAGGGTCTTCTGTGTCTTCTCCACGTGTATAGTCACAGCTGTAATAGGACGTGCAGCATGGCACACTTTTCCTAGAGTTTGCTTCTGCACTTCCAGGAATTGCTTTCAGGGAACTTCATGCTGACTTGTTTTAGTACGGAGTCTGCTGAGGAGAAGCTGGAACAGGCGACCTGTTCATTACTGGTGAATGATGAATGCTGCGTGGTATAATCCAGCTTCTCTGTGGATAATAAACCAATCGTCTGAGCTCTAATTAGTTGCCACTTTAATGTCATTAAATTTTAGCCCAGAATAATGATGTGGCGAAAACACTTACAACTGTGCTCTAAATGAAAGTTCAGCCACATTTTCATTAAAGTATCAGTATAACTGCTGCTTAACAAGTTGTTTCATTTAATTGTCATTCATATCATACAAGTTTTTAAAACCAGTGGGAAAAAGAAACTCCATAATACCACCTGCCACAGGCCTGTTTTTATCCTCTTTATTTCGTGGAATTGTTTTGATGAAAAAAACATTTAGTGGAAGAGAAACATAACACAAAATAAAGTAATAAAATAAATACATTCTGACTACACAGAGCAGCGACGCATCGATGTGATGTCGAAATTGCACACTGCTCCTCTGTGTTTTACTGACGGCCTCTGCCCGCTGAGGCGTCTTTGAGACAAGTGAGAGTAACATTTGTCGCCGGTGAGGCAGCTGTAGTCAGGATAATCATTGTTGTTGCTGGGAGACGGTGTGTTGGTTATAAAAGAGCTACGTTGATGGTTTGTGTCACGTAGTCCATTAATTACAAACAATTGGTGTGAATTCTGAAACAGAAAAACAGAACAGTTTTCATCTGCAGCGACTAAAGAAATTACAAAACACTTGGAAATATTACAAAGAGTCCATCACTGGATCACATACGTTATAGAGACACAAACATTCACTCTTAAATTCACACTGTGCTCAATTTAGAGTGAACAGTTGACGCATTAGATTGTCTGAGGAACAAACAAAGGCAGACAGAGGGAGGCAGAGAGGCAGACACAAGGAAACTTCATAAAGAGGGACTTACAGTTATCACGGGGATTTGAACAGGCAATTATCTTGCTGTAAGGCAAGAGTTTCAACCGCTTCAACCGTCACAGAATGTGACCAACCTTTGAAATCAACATAAAATTGTATCTTTAATTATCTGTCTACCAAGTTGGGACATAGGTTCTCAAAATTAAATTAAATTAAAGATTAACTTAAATTAAAGAGCAACAGGCACATTTTCGGGGGCTCTCTCAACAGGAGTGAACTAAAAAATGATTCTGGGGAACTTTTAAAATTGCAATTAAAATCAGAAACGTGTACTTTACCAATTAACTTGGACTGTTGTAGGTTGGACTTTAGTAACTCTCAAAGGATAGTAGTAAAAGATGGAAATCACAACTGAATAACATGACCTTTGACCCCTCAAGCTTCCTGTGTCTTGTTCTGCTTTCTATTAACATGTCTGGTTTGTGACCAGTGTAAACAAGGACTTTAAAGTAACGAGAGCAAAATATTAGAAATACAGAAAATATTAGAAAAAAAAAACCTTGTGGCATTAATGTCCACGGTCGTTCAAAATAAATGCTTAAAATTATGGTTTTTTTTTTAAATATGCTTGGGCTGCTGTTAATACACTGACAGTGGTGTTCAAACGGTAGCTGAGTTGGCATTGGTCTGTTAAAGGCATCACAAAGTGTGAGATCAATTTAAAATAATGGATGCTGTTAATTAAGCTGTCTACATGTGGGATAGTCAGCTCTACAAATAATCATTATCTACACTGACGAGGCTCTGTGGTGAAATCCATGTTTCGTTAAGCTGAGTTAAATCAAACAATGATCTTCTCGCCTTGTGGTCTTCCAAGTTAAGTCAGAGATTTTAGATTTCCAACACCGCACTCAGTCGATCTTTAATTTCAAAATGTATGCCGGGTATAAAACAACGTGTAATATCGTGCTAACGTATGTTGAATTCTCCTAGGCCTCCGCTGTGAAGTCAACGGGGACGAGTGTGTTTCGAACCCGTGCCAGAACAGAGGAAGATGTATCGATGCACCCAATCGATTCCGCTGCTTGTGTCGTGGAGGCTTCATGGGGCTCCGCTGTGAGACAAACATTGATGAATGTGCGTCAGCACCTTGTCTTCGAGGAAGGTGGGGGTCTCTTGGTGCCTGCCATTAAAATAGAAACATTGCAAATTGTGCAGAAATTGCTCTGAATTATTTTTAATTATACTCACCGTGGGTGCACTGAGTGAAAACGTACTGTACGGCGCACGTCACGTGCAAATGTGATCCACTGTCTGTAAATTATAGTCATTAACTCACTGCGAGGGGAAACACTTTGTCTTCAATGATCCTGAAGGAGCCGTGCAGCAGAAAATACACATATGTATGAGCGCCCTGCACGTGAGACTCTACTATGGCCACGAACCAACGCTGACCTGTTTTAACCCCACAGCTGTGAAGACGGAATTGATTCGTACTCCTGTCGGTGTGATCCTGGATGGACTGGCAGCAGATGCGAATCAAACATCCATGTGAGTTGAAGTTCACAAAAGTTTAAAAAAAAAAAAGACTTTTTTTTCAGTCTCCATGTGACCGTGGCTTTTATTAACCGCATTGATTTCTCCACAGTGTGAGTAATTTGATCATGTTAGGTTTGTGCAAACACCAAATTGTCTGGTCTAATTTGTAATTGATCTTTACCACGGAATGTTCTGGGCTCTGGAGATAAAGCCTCCATTTAGCAAAATGAATAATCCGACACTCGCTACATGACGACGACAGTATTTCATGGAAATATAGCTGCGGCTCATAGTCAGATTTTACAAACTGTTAGCATAAAGCTACTCACATCTGTCGTTTTTTTTTTGTAGTGCATTGAGTCTGCATTATGGCAACATACTTATAGACATTTACTTCCTAATCAACACTGACGTCTTCTCATTCAGTTTCTCGCCATATTATTAATATAAAATGAAATTTAATTTGTAAAATTTTTCAGATTTATAATACATTTTAACACATGGACAGAATGAGGTGTAAATCCAATGATTACACTCCACTCCATCCACTTCATGTTGATACATTGTAGTACATAGTGAATACACAGCTGTAATGGATACCAAGTTAGTTTATGTTTGAGAAGCTGACTTGACAAATGGGTTAAACATGTTACATTTTTTTATTGTTTAACAGTCGTGTTGAATATTTATTTAATATAAAACAGCAATGGTGGGTAGAGTGCGTCTTATGCACACTGTCTCTTTGTCGCCATGAAGCACTTTAGTAACCCATTCATAGCCACAGCATTTTTTTTTGCGCCACATGTTCTGCATCTGTCAAAATATTCAGCCTTATTGGTGCAGCTCCTCACTTTTGCAGATGACTGTTGTCTTTTCATTTCCAGGACTGTGCTTCCAGTCCGTGTTCTCACGGAGGCTTGTGTGTGGATCTCGTAGATAAATATGCGTGTTTCTGCCAGGAGGGTTTCACTGGGAAAAACTGTGAGAATGATGTCGACGTCTGCGGGGAGGCTGCTGCTCACGTCTCTCTGTGTTTGAACAGAGCCACCTGCGTTGATGGTCCTGGAGCCAACTTCACATGCAGGTGAGTTTTTGCTCGTAGGTAAGTGTACGTTCTGTTGTTTTTGGGAACAGCAACAAGTCATGGCAACAGTTTCGAAAAGAATATTTAGCAATTTTTTTTATTAACTTAGAAAACAATCTGAAGAAATGAGCATTACCATATATTTTAACATTTAATTGGAAATGCACCAATTGTTTCATCTCAAGATTCCTCTAACTTCTGGCAAAGCCGTCACACTGATTGCTTGTCATCGGCTTTATCCAAAAGTACCTGAGAGAAGAACAGTCTTTTTTTCGAGGTAGCAGGTATTAAAATAGCAGCTTTGTCATCGCTGTTGATTTAACATCTGCAAAAATACTCCTAAGAAAGAGCAGTCAAATCAGACTACTAATTTGCCTTTGTCACAACATGGACATTTTTTCTTCCACAGAAAAACAATAAAACCACACTTCAAGCATAATAATAGTTGATTTTTTACAAAAATATTTGTTTGTATTTTTTCTGACATTTCATTATAAACTACATTCATCCACTTACTAAAAGGTTGTTGGTTCAATTCCGGCCTCTGTAATTTACATTCAAGCGGCCAGCTCTGTCCTCCCCATTTAAACTGTAATTGGTTTTCTGCTCATGTAAAATTAAACACAATTCACATTGAGTTTTTATTGATTTTACTCATACTGTAGCTCTCTGTTGGCTGCTGCTTAAAAAATGAACAATATTGATTTTTTTTTTGTTTTATGTTCATGTGAAACGTGACTAAAGCTACATGACATGTGTGTGTGTGTGTAAATCAGGCATCAGCATTGAATCACATTACTCACAGGAGTCCGAGGAGTCGGGGCATTAGTGCTGTTTCTCTACACACGGACGCTGAATCCCAACAGTCAACACTGCAGTCGGTCGACCAGTCCATCACAGCGTGTCACACTCATACCTGTGGTCAATTGTGTGGACAATTAACTTAATCCCCAGTATGTATGTTTGTGTGCTGTGGGAGGAAAATATCAAGTACTAGGAGAAAACTGACACACACACACACTCACCCACACACACACAGGGAGAGCATGATGACTCTCTACAGAGAAGAACAGGATGGAACCTGCAAGCTGCAGATTTTGTTGCTGTCAAACAAGAACACTAAGCACTTCCTCCACCAGGTGGTTGTTTTAGTAATAATAATGAATTATTTAAAAAAATAATAATAATTATAGAAACATTGTTTAAAATTTTTAGGAACACACATATATGTTTCAATGCGCTCAGCAGAGCCATCCAACAATAACAACATTACATTACTCTTAACATATAACAGTTTTTGCTTTTTTTTTTTCAGTCCAAACTTTTTCACACCTAAACAATCATGAACAGAAACCTCCCACTTTTTGAACTCTCCCTTCATTCTTCATCTGGTCCTGGTGTAAACAGAGAGCACCGACAAACTCAAATCATTTTTGAAACCTGATCTGCTGCAGCCTCAAAATCCCCCAGTGCACAGGAACACGTTCAGAAGTCACAGTGAAGCTACTTGACTATTGTACCTTACCTTCAGTAGTCACGCTGACGAATCTCATAAGTGCATAAGTTAATTATCACCCTGGGTATCAACTACACGCTGTGGTAAAAATCACATGAAACTTAATGTCATTCACAAGTTTTCTGTTAATGATTTTGTTTTGAATTAAATTTCTTTCTTTTTTTCACGTTTCTCCACTTCTATTAACCTCATGAGTGGAGAGTGACTTGCATATATTCAAGCTACAGTACTTATGTGCTGTGTGTAATTTAAACCGAATAAAGCAAATGTATTCATAATATATCATATATATGCAGTCTGTATTAAATGAAGTAGCCAAAAGAAAATATAGCACAGATATATCTGGTGAAATCCAGTTAAAGAAAGTGGCCTGATTTCCCCCGCCCCGCCCATTTTCGTAATCCCCAGTAACTGGGCGTGTTTTTTCCCCCCCCCCCCCCCCCCCCCGTGTCTGGTTCTCTGCTGTGTAACAGCAGCAGTGATCTGCATGTTTTGCAAGTGAATCATTACTTTTTAATTGTTGACATGCCTTCCCCTGAGTGATGAAGTTGTCTGAACACAAGGTGTATGTAGTAAGAGTGTGCAGATTTGACAAAGTAGCTCCCTGGATGTCTTACAGTTAATTACACTGTCTAACCTTGTGCAGCTCTCTGCTGTATGCTCCGTGTCATGATTTAATTTACCCAGGCTACCAAACAGAACGTGTAAAGTCGTCCACATATTTAAATACTTCCTTGATAGATTAAGTTAATTTAGGGTATTACTGCAAGGACCCAAACCGTACAGCTTTTTATGTATCTATAATTTAACCTTTCAGCTACATTTAAGTTTCAAACAATATTATTATTCTATTGAACAAGTCGTGTTACACGTTTTAATTCACTTTATCTGCGTGTTGTTTATGCAGAGTTTAACATTCAGTCAGCTCTGCACCTGTTCAGGAAATGGCCTAAAAAGCTTTTCATCTTCTCTCTCTTCCCCGGTGGTCAGCCACGAGGTTATGGAGGAAACACTTGATCTTGCTGCAGTATTAAATGATTTAATTAACTTTTCTAAAAAGCTCAGTTCACAACAGACATTAGAGGAATTTTGTCTCTCTTTTATTACTGTCAAATGTCAGCTTTTACTCTTTTAAAGCTGCCGTATGTCTATTTGAAAATGAGCTCTGTTGGGGGATGGTGCAACTACAGAGGTTCTGTGTGTGTTGTTTGTAGGTAGAAATGTTTTTAGTGTACCCAGGCATCAAGGTAGTTTTGGAAATATTGTCCATTTTAATAGGGACTGCCATAGCAGGAACTCTCAACCGAAATTCACATTTTACAGACCAATCGAAAAGACAAGAAAGTGTTTATTTATAAAATGGGCAAACTGCATTAAAGTACCATTTGGTAAACATAAAAAAGTTTAAAATTCCAAGCCTGCAACACAATACCAAAACCAAATGGGACAAATGCAAAATAACACTAGAATCCAAGTCATTGGTCAACGAGTGCCATTGTTGGCATTTTAAACTTTTAACAGGCTTAAGCATGAACACTGGGTGTTAAAGGAGCATCTACCAAAGGCTCAGTTCTAAGAAATCCTGTGCTTGGTCTCAACAATTTGTATGGAAAAAGAAGAGTTTAAAAAACAATAATACAGTTATGCTTAAGATTTAAAAAAGAAAAACTAAGTCTTTAATGTTTAAAGTCAAAAGTATTGTAAGAACACAAAGAGTTTGGAAAAAGTGTACGTGAAAGTCTATGGATATAAAACCTTGGTCAATGACCGAGACCTATGGGGAAACATAAGTAGAAACCACTGTGATGCTCATTGTCATGTGTTAAGGATATATCAATTATTATGTTTAAATGAATGGCATGCGTGTGCCTCTTAGTGATGTTATTTTTTTAACTGAGATTTTTCTTTTTTAATCCCTTTGTTCTGCCTGGGTCACCTCTCGCGAACAGATGTTCAGTGAGCATGACTATGAATATGAAGTCCAAGCAAGTCAGCAGACCTTGGGCTTCCTTGGCCTGCGGCAGCTTTGATGCATGATCAGTCTCATTGTCCAGCTGGGACAATGATTTTCTCTTCTGCAACACATAGAGCCGGTGGGGATGACATCTGCATAATGGAGTGGTAACTCAGGATGTAGTTAACTCTGTGAAATTTTGCCAAGTTTCCAAGAGACGAGACTTCTCTCACACCCACATCTCGAATGTGTTTAACTGTGTGTTTTAAACACTTTTATTTTATTAAAAAAAAGAGGCCAGTGACTTCAGTGGTGTAAAGTGTTTTCAATGCCGCACTTCCAATTATATAATTCATGTTTTTGAGCAATGGTTTGATGATTCATCCACACAATGTCAATACAAAACCTGTGAGCTGCTCCATAATTAACAGACAACACTAAATATTATGAACGATTAGATGAAGTGTATCTTGTGCACTTTTATACGACTAAAATGAAACTACTTTTATAATAACTATTTTTGATATATGGGGTTGACATGGCTAATGCTCTTGTCTTATGGAGGTGGTTCTCAAAGTAGGGGTCTACCCACCCAGGGCGTACAGAGCCTCTGCAAGGGCGCAGCAAATCTAATTATTATTAATTTGCATGTTTTTTTTTTTTAACCACAGCGGCAAGTGTAAATTTCTGTAAATGTTTTTAAGGAATTATGGTGTTTTTTTTTAAATTAAAATAAATGGGAATGAAGAAATAGCTTTGAATTTGTAACTGCAGAGGGTTCATCTATAGTCCTATCCACAAAGAAAGGTGGTGGTGGGGGGGGTCACTGCCTTATAGATAGAAGATTACAGGTATTTCTGATTTCTGATAGAGTTGCATGTTTGCTGGTTCTAAAACATATAGGTTTAGGTCAACTGTTCACTCCTAACTTACAGTAAGTATGGACAAAGGTCGGAATGTCTCTATTGTATAGCGGCTCAGTAATAATAATAATAATTTAGTGAAAGATTCATTGTGACTTAAGGAGCAGGAAATAGGATACATACGTGATACACTGACAAAATGCAATGCTGATTTTATACACAACAACATGTTCAATTGTATTTTATCTATTTATTTTACCTGGGTTTTTTATTCCAAATTTAAGTCTGACAGGTTGATGTTAAAATTAATAACATGTTGCTAAAATACAACACTCACTGTCCTCATAAAAATGACATATAAACATTTCATAACCAAAACAGTGAGGTGTCAGTTTTCACCTGATATTTACAGTTGTCTTCGCGCAGGTCTGCTCATTATGACACAACACAACGGTGGCACGGTGTAAATAGTACCATGTGTCCTCAGCGGGGTCTTTCCACTGCTGCATCTTTATGACAGTCACTAAAGAGCAACCACGGGGGACACACAAGTTGTCTGCTGCCCCTTTAAGTAAATGTGCGCCCGTCTTGACTGCGCCTCATAAGTGTTTATTGGCCTCGCAGCTGTGTCGGTGAAGTCCCTTAAAAAAATGTGCATTTTTACTATCAGTATTTCATACAATTTGAAGTGCAGCAGGAACACCTGACTCTGAGAATGTGTTCTTCACAATGAAAGATATAAATAAGCAGTGAATAGATACGGTGTGGGATGCACAAGAGGGAAGGGACAGCGGTGGGAGACAGCCCGACTGCTTTGTTCACTATGATGTGTTTTCTTAGCTGTCCACCAGGTTTCACGGGGGAGTTCTGTGAAGTGGATGTTAACGAATGTTGCTCGGCTCCCTGCCACAACGGTGCCATTTGCCAAGATCTTATTAATAGCTACATCTGCCACTGCAGGTCAGGTGAGTGACTCAGACGTCTTGTGAGTTTACTGGATTTACTTTATAGACATTGTAACCAAATCACGTCACATGACCCACTTTTGGAGGAAGCTGTGTCTTGCTTTTCGACAAGAAGTGTGCGACAACTCTCGTATTTGTTTCCTACATCTCGGTACAGTACAGTGAAGTTTGCCTCATACTAAAGGGGTGCCAGATTGAAAGGGGCCAATACAGAATGCTATGTAAAAAAGAAAAATTAGCATACTGTCAGCACAGCTTCTGTAGCTCAAAGCCAGTCAAAAGGCGGCCCAGCTTCTCTGGGGATACATTTGTGGTCATACAGTACTAAAAAAATAGTGATAAGGAGGCGATACTGCCTGCTCTCATTAAAATGTATGTGGCATCTTACTCTTTAGTGAAAGCCTTTTCTTGTCGGTGCATGTGTGTGCGTGTGTGTGTGTGTGAACTCCAAAAGAAGCAAATCAATGTAGGAGAATCTGATTGATATTCACTTCAGAGGGTGGAAGTGGGAGAGCCTGGGCTCACCACGGCGCTCTGTGGGCTTTTGTTCCTGGCAGGTTGGACAGGCCTTCACTGTGAGGATGACATTAATGAGTGCCTTCCACAGCCCTGCAACCAGGGGATATGCATTCAGAATGATCCGGGCTATGGCTACACCTGTTTCTGTCGTCCTGGATTTGTGGTGAGACTCCTCGCCTTCCCCACGTCCCTTTTTTTAACCTCTCCCATTTTGCACTGTCACCCCTCCCACCGTAATAAAGAGCCTACACTCTAAATAATTGGTCATATTCTTAAACTTACTGTATAATGATGAGCATGCAAATTCACTTTCTAGCGAAATGCTAACATAAATAAAAACAAAAATAAAAACAAACATCAGAAGCCTGAATCCTTGATTTGAGTTTATAGGACACACACTGCTAAATGCTAATGTGGCTACTCCACACCACAGTAGACACCACATCTCATTCAGAGCCTCATCACATATTGACACTGTCTGTCTAAAGGCTGTTTATTTTTCCACACACAGGGGAAGAACTGCGAGCAGAACTATGACGACTGTCTGTCCGGTCCATGCCCAGCAGCGTTTTCCTGTGTTGATGGCATCAACAAGGTCAGCTGCCTGCCTCCAGTTATGGATGCTGTTCCCTCGGCGACTGTATTGAAAAGCGTCACTCATGGCTCCACACCTAAAGTGTCGATACCATCACTCAATCCCACACCCAGAGCAGAGACAACCACAGGTTAGTCCACTCTGTGACATTGTACCTGTGCTCTACAGACTAAGAAGTAATTAATTCATTATTGTTTTTTGTTTGTTGGTTGGTTGTCTTTTGTCTTATTAAGGCAGAAAGTCATTTTTGTGTTAAGTCTTCATTTTAACTTTTCATTTAAATCTAGTAAAATATACTATTTTATTTAACAAAACAACCATAATATTTATGTCAGAGATTTAAAAAAAAAAATTCAACAGTGTACATTTTCTATAAAAACTTTTAGACTAAAATCTTTGATGTGATCCAGAATATACTTTAAGCTTTATTTGCCCAAATAATTAATTTCATTATTTCTATTTTTGAAATATAAAAAATGATTTGACACTGACACACAGACACTGAATGCCACTAAATAAGACTACTTTTTATGGACCCTTTAAGTTTATAATTTTCTATGTAACCAAGAAATTATTTTTTACTTCTTAAACCTGAACAATTTTTTTGTATTGACTTTGCTCTAAGAGATATACTCCCGGGGAGCTAATGGGAATTTAGAGCTTCCAATGCATAGATCTCAAAACCCCCAGCCCTGGGGGCCGTCTCTGACCCGTGAACCACCCATGTCAGTCCTGCAACTAGATTTCAATAATGATTTAATTCTGCACTTGAGTTGTTTTTTTTTTTGTTTGTTTTTCATTTGTACATTTGAGAACCTGGTCTAGACCAAAGCAGGTCTGTGTTTTATTTTGTTTTTGTTTTTTTTTTTGTTTTTTGAGGGGGTGGAGGGGTTGTGAAAGACATCTATTGAGGTAAAATCAGGAAAAATTAATCTATATAGATCAAATCATTTCTGGTTCTTTATCATGAACACTTGAACTGCACAGACAAAGTTAAATATGAGTTACTTTATTGCTGTGCTTTATTGGTTCAGTCATCTCTGTGAGGAGAAGAATTCAGAGCAGTGGGCAGATCGTTGCTCCCTGACAGATGAGCTCCACCTTTGAAACTGTTCACGGAGCTGTAAAACAGACCTATTGAACACAGACAAGCTTGAACCGATTCAGTGCGACACTCTGAAAATCACTGTGGGCAAAAAGTAATAGAGTCCTCCCCTCTGCACCTGATCCAGCCCAGATCTCCCACATATTGCATTGGCTGGAGAGAAGGTTAAATTGACACACATGGAGCTGGAGAGCAGGAGATAAACAAACCTCAGCGTCGGCACACACCAACGCGGCTGCATTGCACTTTTATATAGGAGCGGGTAATCAAAGTAAATATGATGTAAAGTAAAAAAGAAGGCAGAAATCTGTGAGTTTATCTAACTAGGTCACTATCCAAACACATGCAGTGCCCTCGGTGCTGCTCTAAATAGACTCAGACTGTGCTCCTTTAAACCAAAGTATCCTTTTCCACATTAAAACACCCATACAGGGGGTTTTAAACATTAAAAAGATAGGTATTATAGCACCCTGAAAAAGGAGGAACCAACTCTCTGAAGACAATCTGTCTCTCTGGTCTCCGTTGTGAATTTACTGTTTATTTTAGGTATGAAATTTTTCATTTGGCAGAGAATTTCCATGGATGCAGATCATTGTCTTTTGAGCCTCTTTTATTCCCAGTCTCGATGGAAGCAATGCTGAGCTCCACAGTATGTAAGCCCCACTATACCAGAGCTGATGAGAATCTAGAAAGCACAGTGCTGGGGGTGCGGAGGCTTACTGCGGCTTAGCCACGATTAGTTTGGCTCTCCTTGGAGTGATCACTGCAGCACAGGTGAAGCTGTTATCTTTTCCTGCCATGTGTAGCTGGAATGAAATTACTTAAGCACCTCAAAAATCTTCTTTATGAAGGAGAAAATATCCAAAGGGTCACTTTATACGTGCATTACCTCCCATGGGCCACTCACCCTGTATACCTCTGGCCAAAAAAAAAAGAAGCTTCATTTGTGTTTATTTATCATAAAGTATCGCTGATATTATCAATATGATGTGTTTACACTGCTCAGACATACAACCTAATGTGTCAGTTATTTAAAACTTTAACATGATTTACACATGTGATGACCCACATGCACATAATAGTTCAGTAGGAGGTGGGCTTCTCTTTGTTGACCTCCGACCCGAAGTTCTCACAACCTACGTTATTTAAATGATGACAAATTGCCAAACTAATGGACAGTTAAATTGGCAGTCCGACAGTCATATTACTTATTACAAATAGATGCTGTCTGACCCACAGGTCACATGATGTGGGTCATTATTGATGACGAAACGTGCATACTCTTCACATGTCACAGCATCACAGAATTTAACACATGTACATACTGTATGTGTTCTATCAACAATAACATCTCGGAGAAGAGAACGAGCTGCTGAACATTTAGCTTCGCCGCCACAGTGAGTCAGAGTTTCTCCTGCTCACAACAGCTGACCGACTGACTGACAGATAGTACAGATAGAGTTCAGGATCCATTTTTCCCTAATAAGTATAGTTTTGCACTTTGATCCCTTTTTGCATGTAAAGATCATTTCCTTGGTTGACGCTCCTTTTATACCCAGTGTTAATACCTAAACCACCAAGACACATTCTTTTTCTCCTTTCTCTCAGCTACTGTCCTGACATTTATGGAGTGTGTAATGAAGTTCTATTTTTATGGATAACAAATATGAATAATTTTGAAGTAAACATCAAAGATTTTTTTTTATATATTTCTCCACACAAAAAAAAAAAACACGTAGGATCTCATATTATATACAGTATTTTTGGTTTTCTTTCCACCAGAAGGCAAACCACTTTCTTTGTTTAAATATTCTTATTGAGAAAATGTTATATTTGCAGTGTACCCACAGTGCAACTACATTGACACATCCAGTGACATAGTTTGTTCATGAGTCATGATGTCATGTACTTGATGTGCACACCCATCCCTCAGTGGAAGACGACTAAATCGTCAGAATTAGAAGCCATACCTTGTGTGGACGTTGCGTCCTATAACGTGAAGATAATTGTATCAAGGACGAAATAGAAAAAAATTGAGGATTTGATCATGACTTTGTCTCTGTCTTTACCTCAGGGTGAGAAATTGAAGGGTCACAGAACAGTCTCTGGAATTATTTTATGTCTCTCCTGTGGCCAGTTTAATCAGTTAGTCTATTTCCTCATCCGATAAATCAGGAAGAAAACAGAGCTCACGCCCTGCCTTTTCTTAATGTATGGGACAGTTAGTCCATATCAATTAAATCTCATCGTGGAGAGTCAATGCACAAAATAATTGACTCCAAGTTCAAATGTATCCAGATGTAGGTACAGTAGATAGATAGATAGATAGATAGATAGATAGATAGATAGATAGATAGATAGATGGATAGATAGATAGATAGATAAAACATTACAGTCCATCTTTTGATGTTAAGAAATATTTTGCTCCTGTGTGACAACAGTGTCCTAATTAACAAATGAAAAGGAAGCTTTACAGCCGGAGAAATTCCCACTGCGGATGACTTTGCTTTGCCAAATAGAGAAAAGCTAAAAGTTTCTGAACACATCACAGTGGTGATAAACTCCTTACTCAGCACTATGTTAACAGTTGAAAAATATGCTAATGTGCATATCATGGTATTGAAAGTGAAAAATAGTTTACTTTGTACACATTTACAATTCAGATTTTCAAAGAGCTATTTGTGGGTGAAAAATCTGATGTAGGAACGCAAGGTAACGGGTAAAAACAGGAGACCTTTGAAGGAGACACTGAAGCTAACTGCTAATGAGGCATGATACTGCCTCCTGGCAGCAGCCGCAGACTGCATCAAAGACTACATCAGACTAAACAAGGCTTTAAAATTAATGAATAGCTTTGTCTCCGAGGGGTAATTTTCCATCATCAGCATTGGCAAACCCCATTGTCAGGAGTGAAGCATAAGACAGCGCAGCATTGTTGCTGTGTGCATTTATCCTCATTAATTCACAGATCACAGCGGGCCCTGCTCCTGATAATTCTCGCTGGGCTTTTTCCACAGGATCCTCCTCAGGGTATTGGTCATATTGCTCTCTGGAGAATATAGGGGTATTTAGGTTAGCTTGTTTGCCGAATGCACTGGGGGGGGCCCTGCTGTCAGATCAAAGGGGGGGTCTGGTCTATTAGGACCTGGGGCCCTGCTGTCAGATCAAAGGGGGGTCTGGTCTATTAGGACGCGTAGCAAATATTGATAAAGGTCTCACTTGCAGCTCTGCGATTAATCACAGTAGAAACTTCAGCGATTTCTCCAGTGTAATAATGTTTTTCTTTGTTTCTAGATAAGAACAGGCAGAGTATGAGACAGGTGCATCCAGGAGAGATCTTTTTTTACAGACTCCCTGCTTTTTACGTTCTTGCAGCAAATTGCAGTACATCCCTCAAATGGAAAATTTATTAGGCATGAGCAGCCCTAATGCTCGCCTTCACTTCCTGTCTGAGTCAGTCTTTAAGTTGGTCTGCGTCACTACCCCCAATGAACTGTCAGGCGGTGGCAGCTCCACTGAAATACAACATAATTGCCTTTTCTCATGGATGATGCAAACCACCTTATTCCACTGTAAAATGAAGCATGTAATAAACTTGAATATGTACGCTGTAGTCATGGCTGCTCGGCGGCCAATAAAGAGCCATTTACAGGCTTCACAGCCATTCGGAAAATACTACTGTTTACAGAGCGTCCCTTCAATGCAGGCGGAATTTTGATGCTAACAAGAGCTCTGGAGTATATTAATTTCCTCGACTTAAACTTGTCTGTTTCTGAAGGTCTCTTGTTTGATAAAGGTCACATCCAACAACATTACATGACTCATTTTTAAACCAATGTATGGCAAAAATAAAGTAGATGTCCTGCGGAGATGCCCTTTTCCAAACTCTGAATCTTTAATAATTCTGAAAATGAATTCCTCTGTATCTCACTCACTGCTCTGACCTCCCTGTGGAGGAAGTGAGTGAAAGGTTGATTTCTTCAGAAACAGAAATCAATAAAGATCCTCTGCAGATTTCAAGGTAAAGTCGCAGCCTGGCTTTTGTTTACCATTTTTCCTCTTCAATTTTTTCCACCTAGATTGGAGCTATGTTCACTACTTTGGGAATTCATACCTGGAGTTTGAGGATATTGACCCGAATGCACTGGAAAATATTATTGTGAGGTTCCACACCCGTGAGGCCCAAGGAACTGTGTTTTATGCAGACCAAGGAGCCACCGGTGGTGATTTCTTCTTCGTGAAGCTCTTCATCTTGGATGGAAACTTGCAGGTAAAAACACTGTTAGTGTTCATTGTTATTTATTTATACAAACTCAGAATTTCAAATTCAGCTGTTGACTAAATAATAAGCAAAGACTTGTCTCTCTGTCTGACTCCTGTCTATTTCAGTACAGTTTTCAGTGTGGACATGAGAATGTAACACACATCAGTGTGTTAACTCGTGTAGACGATAACAAGGTTCACCTGGTCAATGTCAGGTATGGTCTTTATGTTACTTGTTACTGCAGAGAGTGATCTAAATGAAAGGAATATTAATACTGACATAACAACTTTAACTCAAAATTCACCACCATAGAGTTGATTTGTCGTGTTAGTGCCTTTTATGATGAATATTATGTAAAAACCTTTGCTGCACCTTGCAGTGTATAAACCGGCCCAGCATTAGGCACCAACCACACATAAGTTTTAGATTTTACTGCAATTGTGCTTACATGCAAAAGAGGTCTCTCAAAGTCCCTATTAAAATGCATTAGTGATCACTGAGCCTGTTTTATTGGCTGTTCTAAAGTCTTCATTTGCAGTTTTTCATTACTAAAAGATTAACAAGCAACAGTTGGGCACAAAATCAATGTTTCAATGATTTAAAGTGAGGCTTTGGCCTCTTTAGTTACATTGTTCAGACGCTCGTGTGCAATGCTGCCGCCAGCCCTTTACCATTAGATTCTGACATGGGAATGATTGTAGTTCAGCTTTGAGAGACAACGTTTGAAGCCGAATAAAGCTGAAAAACAAGCAGCTCATGCTGTGCCGTGCTCTTATCAAATCAGTTTGGTGTGCAAGAGCACAGCTTTAGCATTGCACAAAACAAAAAACTCTTTTGTTGGATAACTGTCCAAGTTATTACTAGTTTCTTAATTCAAAATATTCAGTTTGCTTGTTGAATAACATATAAAGGTTAATGTAATTTCTTTCTAGACAAGGTAGACTGAAATGTTTTCATGTTTCTCTGCAGAAAGCTGCACTGTCCTAAATATACAAGTGCATCCAAAGGCCAATAGTGTTTAAGGGGAAACGAGGCCTCTCCCTGTTTTTTTTGGTTTTTTTTGTCCTGCAAGAAAAATACAACAGCCGTATGAATCAATCATAATGTTCTGCTACAACCCCTTGGAGACGTTGCAAGAAAAAGAGCTGTCATAACTGGAGGGTTGGGAGAATGAAAAAATGGTTTGTGGTGTCACAAAGCAAATTCTTTGTAATTGTCTGATGGCTGAGTCCCTCCATCTTTGTCTGGTTTGACCCAGAGCTACAGCACCACGGCCATCCTCAACGTCACCACCGAACTCATTATAGACTTTTAATATATCTTCCCGTCAAAGACGCTTTTCAATATGTTAAATAGAAACCCAGTGGGGCTGACTTCTCAAGGACAGTGAGCACAGTGCCCTCTGGCTGCTGGCCAGGCCGCTCTGGCAGACTGCTTCTAAATTAACCGCTTCTCCACACTGGGTCCATAGAAAGGACTTGTGCAACTTGAAGTTAGTGCCCCCAGTGTTTAGCCAGCATATGCAACACCCGGCGAAGTACAGGCTTAACAAATCAGACTCGATTGCTTCATAGACCTCCTACCTTCCACTTTGGGGGAGGAAGGGGCATCAGGAGACAGTGGAAAGCAGAATGTGCATCTGTGGCCTGAGTACCCTCAAGCTGCAGATGGTTAGTACAAAATCTGCACTTAGGTAATTATCTGCTCCCATGTTGTTCCCAAACGTAGAATTGGATTTTTAAATCTATGAATGGCTGTGGGGTGGGCTCGAAATAGTCGTGTCAAGGCTCATAAGACACAAAACAAAAATGGATTTAGCCACAACAGCAAAGAATAAGGGAGTGTGATTAATGATTAGTGTAAACAAGACAAATCCATACAGTGACACTTTTTAAATCTTAATATTAGGCACTGTTTATCTAACTCACAAGCTTCTATCTTTAGGCTTTTTTTCATGAGTATATCTTTTCAACCTTTGTTTTCCTAACATTTTATACATTTTTAATGAATAACAACTTCGAGAAATATTTTTCTATCCTGAGCTGGGGGCCACTGTTGCCCCTGTCATGTCATTCAAGGGCAGGAAATCTAACAGCAGGGAGTCAGATTACATTATACTGCCTGACCAGTGTTCTTACATCCAATAGAACCAAGTTACGGTTGTTTGAAGTAATTTACTACATGTACTTTATACTAGACAACATCTGACTCCATGTGAAGCAGAGCTGACTCTTTCTGGACACCAGAAAATCAAAAGTACACCAAGTACTCCTCAGGTGGGACACACAGTACGAGGCAAAGCCCATGTCTTCACCGGGGGTCTACCACAGCACTATCACCCCCATCAGGTAGGTCCCGTTTGACACTGTTTGTTGATTATGTGCCTTATATACTGAATTTTCTTTTTTTATTATTTGCTCCATTAGAAGGCAAAAACATTCTATAACTTCACTGGCTGCATTGAGGTCATTGAAGGCAACACCCTGAGGAGATTTTCACCATCTGATACCACAGGACACAGCAATGTTGACCAATGCAGGTAAAACAAATATGCTTTTTTTAAACAAATTGATGAATAATTTACATTATATTAAATATAAAGTTAGTGTTTATTGTTTTTCTCTCTCTTAATTTTCTTTTTTTCAATCAATATAAAAAAACTAATTATGGAGTCTCTCTCTGTTGTAATCAGGCACAGTAGTGTTTTCTTCTTTCTGACAGAGCTGCTGTTTTCTGAACTTGATGCATTATAATGATAGAAAGAGTAATTAGTGTCATTACCTGACACTGAGAAAAGCTTTAATAATTACACCATCAACAATTTCCCCAGTGAATTATCAATGAAGTTCAATCTAATCTAATCCAATCTAATCCAATCTAATCTAAGATATTATTCCATCTTTGTTGTGTGTGTACACAAACTGATTAGCTTATTTGTAAGATGAAATATGTAAAATAAACTAAAAAAGAAACTGAGCAGGAGGTACCAGACTTGTACTGGGTGCAGTCTTAAAGCAGTGCTGAACAGAGCAGCCCAGTGCAAGTTTTGAGAAGGAGTGAAGAGGTTTTAATCCTCACTGCTCGACTCTGCTTGATTGTTCTGTGCGACACCATGAAATACGGAACCACTTATTGTGATTAATAACTCTTGGATTTCCACTTTTCTGTTCAATAAATTGTCAACTTGTTAAATAACAGCCCTTCCTCTTTTGTAATATTGCACTTAGTGATTGGACGAGGCAGCTTAGACCTCTTTTGCCTCAGTACTTTTTTCTTTAAAAGCAAATAAATCACATTTGTTCGGGGTATTTCATCAATTCCTCCTGCTGTCTGATTTACAGATACAACGTACAAGCTACAACAACAACAGTTTCCTCAACTCTGACAAATCAATCCACCCTGTCTGAGACAGCCAATAGGACAACAGTGGAAGCTTCCACACAGAGACCCAGCTCTGCTCTGCATGAGTCCCAGGTTTGTCGTGAAGATTCCTGCCACAATGGAGGAACGTGTCACCTGCTGCAGCTCCCAGGAGGAGCCATGACTTCCTGCCACTGCCGCCTTTACTTCACTGGAAAACTCTGTGAGAAAGGTAGGCCTGTAAAAAAATAATGTTTGTTTAAGCCCACAGGCCCCGCTAAGTTAAATAAATGTTACATAAAACACACAGATTCACATATTAAAAGGCTTAAAAACCCAGCGTACTGTGACCTCCACAATGGTATCTGCAGGAGCCAGCCTGCAAATTATGTTGCTTAATGTATGCTGAGCCTCTTTGGCTAATAGGTTTCACTTTGTGGGAGAATGGAGTCAACTGCATTAGGAATTTTGAGTGATGTGAATTATTCAGGATATGATTAATGAAATGAAAGATCCATATAAGCAGCTTGAACCATCACGGCGTGTCCACGTTCACCTCCAGCTCTGGCTGAGGATGAGAATATGACCTTGCAGAACTCACTCAACATTCAGCCACAGTCCTCATCCTTGTCCCCACCAAAAATATTTATTTTGCACCAACCACTCCCAACACTAGACAGTTGTACTACACACACATACTAAGGAGTTCCCTTCCCTTGCAGTGACTAATCAATTGCCATGCGCTACATGTTCTACAGTAAAGAAAAGTCCTTTGTAGCCGTCATCATTCAGGGACAACAGTAGTGACAATGTGTATATTGCATATATCTGTGATAGCAGCTCCACATTTATACCTGTTCCACTTCCACTTCACTGCGTTCTTCTGTATCTGCCTTTGCACTTAGTCTTCAGTAAAGTCACAACGACAATGTTAGCAGAACTAACATTGAATAATAGAAGATTACTACTGTGCCAAAAGCTGGTTCTCTTCACTCCAATATCTAGTTGTTTTTTTCCAGTCACTGCTCAGCTTCACAAACTGATCTCTGTATATTATGATTGTTTTTTAATTTTATTTTAAAAACAGAAATCCATTTTAAAATGTTTCCATATGGAAAATGTATGATTGTTAAAAATAACTTGAACTGAAATGTATGAATCCCATAATTCCTCACAATCATATTAACAGTGGTTCAGGCTGTGTCACTACCTGCACCTTGTGTTCCTTCACAAATCATTGTTCTCCACCAACAACAATGAATTTTTCAGACAAACGGAATAACAATCGCCACTAAATGCCTAAATGTACATTTGAGCCCTAGAAATATTTCACTGGAATTTCTCATTAGCATCGCAAAAGGTTTTAGTAAAATATTAACAGGAAAAATTTCCGAACCTTCTCCGGGACTCGACCTACTGGCATTATATATTAATTTTACTTGTTTACAAAATACATGGTAATATTGCTCAAAGCCCATGTTAACAGTCACTGACATGGCTCCAGCTGCCTGTGTGTGCACCTGACAGTCTTGTTTGACACACCTGCCACGTGCTAAAAATGCTAATTTAGTGTTGTTTAATCCTCTGAAATGTTATCTGTCTCTGCAGGCGCTGTAACAAAAACGATGCTATTTTTAAGACCTTACTCTAATTCGTTGTCCCCCATGGGACATGGTTGTATTGAGGAAAGTGCCCCCCCCCCCTCTGCTTACATGACACAGATGCTACGTTGCTGAACTAATTATTAGGATGATTTAGACGACTTCAAAAACGGTATGAAAAGAGAGACTGTGTCGGCCTTTTTTTTATTCATTCACTGCTGGTTTAATTCACTTCTTCAGCTACAATCTGATTTGATTAAGAGCAAGGGTGTGAAACCCCCAGCCCAATGGTGACTTCCAGCCCACAACACCTCAACATCTGGCCCATTATGACTTTTTTTAATCTATTTTTTGTTGTTCTATTTGTTTGCTCAATAAAATGCTTTAGTTGGTAATTTAAAAATGAAAATGTGAAATTGTGTCATTTCCCGCAGTTATTATTAGAAAAATAAAACCCAGATTTTCACCCCCAGCCTTTTCCTTCCCTGACCACAGCCATAGTCCCATCTTATCCCTGAACTTGCCACACTCATGAACTTCTTTCCTCAAATGCAAGTATTTGCCTTTCAGAGTCATTTCTGCTGAGTTTGAGGAATTACTCTTCCTCCAAAGGAGTCCACTCTCCCGGAGTGCAATCTCATTGGAGCAGTCATCCTAGTGTGCTTTGAAACTTTAATATAGCCCACAGACAGAGTCCAGAGGCTGTTTACATGCTGACAGAGGCTGGGAGACACTGGGACACAGATGTGTCCCAGTGTCTCAGTGAATCAAATCCTGGCTATGAGAGATGGATGAAACAAAGCACCTCCGCTCTTAATCATCCTGCCCACTGACCAGTCATGTGGACTTAGTGTCCTAGATGAAATGCTGACCTGTCATAATTAGCTGGCCTCATGTTTGCCTACGTTTCCTCCTGTTGTCATTAGAAAAGTTGGATGTTTTTTTTTTCTTGTACATCGAGTTAATAAGTCAGAGACTACTTTGCTGATTAGTTTCTCATTTAATCTTCATTAAAGGGGATTCAACATAAGGGATTTCTGTACTGTGTCATGTACTGTGCAGTACTACAGAGAAGCTGTAGATGCCAATGACTTTTGACTTGTGACCTTGATGAAAAGCTGACCTGTCTTTGTGTTTGCCGTTGTCTGCTGGTGTTAGAATGATAAAAGAAAGTCTGATTTAAAAGTGAATAGAATAAACACATTATGATATTTACTGTTACAGTAGATGTTTAATGAGGACACACTGTATTACTGAATCTGACAAAACAATAGGTTTGAAGTTTTAGAAAACAATTAATTTTCAATATAATTAGGTTCAACTTTCATTATTGAATCTAAACGTTGATTTCATTTTTTCTCTGTAGTTGTATGTCCTACTCCTTATGTACTGTATATATAATGAAAAAGTAAGAAGAAAAAAAACAGCTGTTATTTATATAACCCATTTAGTATTTACAATTAAATTAAATGACTTTTCTGTTGTGTTTTAATATCCAAACATAGTTTTTCATCAAAATGTTGTTCTGTCTTTTCTTCATCCAAGGATTCAGTCTTGCTCCTTAGTTTAACATTCAGTTCAAATCAAAACTTATTTTAAACTCATTTTTTTGGTTTTTATCAAAAATGTCTGTTTTATTTTTTTTAGAAATAAATGAGTCTTAGACCATTTTGTGTATTAGCTTTAGATTTAATCCTAATTAAAGGGAATCTTCCATAAAAAGACTGTTTTACTGTATCTTATATATCAAAAAAGTTTATTCAAATCTCAGCTTTTGATCTTTTTATATTCAAGAAGTCAGCCGTTTTTTTTTTTCAATAAAAAAAGTGAAGTATAGTTCAGTGTCCTACAAAAAGGTATTTTGTGTCAGCTTAAGAAATCATAGAGAACTCTGTGTGAGACTTAAAGGGCAGAATTATTTGGCCAGATAAAGGCTTTACAAACAATGTTTTCTGTCAGGTGAAGTGAAGCAGCTTCAAACAGCAGTTAGCCGTTAGCGCAGCAGACTACCGTTTGAAGCTGCTGGTCTCTCTGGAGCCTAGAGAACATCCCGCTGCAGGATCCTCCCGGGATGTGCATTCTTGTGTCAAACTGTGTTTTGTTTTGTTTTTTGTCTTCAATACATACCTCTGAAAAAGGCTGACAGATAGAAACAGTTAGAGTTGGCTCAAACTTACATTAGGCCTCATTTTCAGGCAGTTTATTTAAGGATAATTGCTTTGGTCTAAATTGGAGCCAGTTTCAGCTGATTGTTAAATCAACAAGAGATGTCGAGGGATTGTTGTGAATTGGAATATTGAGAATTGCGAGCGGTTGGGCTGCTTGTAGTTAATTGCATTTTCCTAAAATGAGAAAAGCTCCAGACTATTTACCTAAATATCACAGGTCATTACCTGGCCTTTTTTTAGTAGAATTGCACTGAAATACGATGTCTGCTCACATCACATCAGCTGAATCAAAGCACTGTTGTTGTTGTTTTTTTTCACCTTTGTGCCCTTGACAGCTGTCACTCAAAAACTTTGAGCAGGTATCTTGTTTTATCCTGATAGTTCCAGTCTTGACATGTCTCGTCTTGTTTTATCCTGATAAGTCTTGACATGTCTCGCTCTTGTTTTATCCTGATAGTTCCAGTCTTGACATGTCTCGCTCTTTTATGTTTGCTCTCTGCTAAACGCACCATTCACGTTACGGACCATATTTCAGGCCAGTAAACGGTGGTTTTGTACAGTGTTTGATATCAAGAAGCCGGCCGTAAGGGAGGTCATGTCAAGATAAAAACCGGGCTATGATAACTTCAATCATAAAGGAAGGTGTTGCACCCTGCCACAGACGGCCAGCTCTGTCAGGTGTGTGAGCATTCGATTGAAAGCCGAGCAACTGCGTGAAAAAGGTGTGAAGTAAACGGCTGCGTGGTTAAAGAGTGGGCATAAAAGAGGAAGCAGTGAGGCAGGAAATTATTCAGACCTGGTCTGTATTGATCATGACCTCCTTCTATGGCTCATTACCACGTGTCCTCACTCCTCATATATCTGAAGCAGCAGTGTTGGCCAGAAAGGAATAATAAAATGAAAATTGAAGGCAGTTCCATCCCTTTTATGTCCCTTTCAAGAACTTATCCCCAAAGGCAACATTACTCCCAATACAAGTGATCCCGCCTTTTTGTCCTCACTTGCTTTAATAACATCAGAACAAATATGCATCAGATATTTGCACAGTTTTATTTACCTCTATAAATTCTCTATATTTTACACTCCTTGTTCCATCAATATAAGCAAGCAATGAGGCCTTGGGTACTCAGTAAATAAATAAAATGAATAAATATATATATAATCAAAAGTTT